AATTCAATAATTTGGATAATGCATGATTAATTTTTGGTTTGACTTTCAAAATTTATGTCCCCAATAGAGTCGCCATGTTGTCTTAACGGTTTTAAGACCGCTAGACATTTAAGATTTTAATTTTGAGAAAAATAGAATGAATCGTCACCAGTCTTTTTAGGGTATGATTGATCACCCAAAAGTTTATCTTTTTAATAAAACTATAAAAACGAGTTTAAAGTTTATTAAAAAAATAAATTTTAGTTTACGAAAATGAGATTGAGTTCGAGAGTCGATTATGTACAGGGAAAGATTAGCACCCCCAAAAAACCCATAAATTGGTACCAATTAATCATGCATTATTTTTTATGTTGGATGAAATGATTTTGATTTGAAATATAATACTATTTCCCTTCATTTTTAAGAAAAAATTAATTTTACTAAAACTCTTTATTTAGGAATATCGAAAAAATCTTTAAGTTAAAAGATTATCTTAAAATTCTTCAACATTTAAGTAGAAATTAAAATAATTTTTTTCGCTTAAGATTTAACATAATATTCTTTAAATTAAAAATAACATTTTTTGTGGAAGATGATTGTTGGTGACTCTCGAACATCTAGACAGAGTACCAAAATTATTTATTTTAGAATGTTATTTATAATTTCACAATTTAAAGTACATATTCCCTTTTTTTTTTAAAACATTTTATGCGAGAAAGTAAATGATGGTACTATTGGGTAACAAATAAAAATTAAAGACATAGAAATGTGAAATGAGTACAAACAATAACATGATGACATATGTATGCCAATGGATGTTATGCAAAGTGATGAAATGCACTTTGAAACTAGGTTCTTAAATATAAGGAGATCACACTGACTTTCCAATATCTAAGTAGAGTTTAGGTATGACTATTTATATTTAAGATCTCATTTTATATTTTTATTTTAATCTTGATATTATTACGAAACCAAGGATTCGTGCAACTAACTTAATAAAATAAAAATTTCTAAATACTCTATCTTTTAGGCAATTTTCGAGAACAAATTATTTCACATGAGATTTTCACGCGCATCCTAAAGTTTTAGGATGGTTTTGAGTATGGGTTTAGAGTTTGGTGATGATTTGAGGTTGTGTGTTGATTTTAGGGTTTAGTGTTTCAAGGGCTTTAGGGTTTGGAAGGTTTCGAATTAAGGGTTTGGATTTTAGAGTTTTGGGGTTTTGAAACTTAAGATTTTTGGTTTTGGCGTTTCAAGTTTAGCATTTTGAGTTTTAAAGTATTGACGTTTTGAGCATTTTGGCTTCAAAAAGAAAATGAACATCTTTAAAATTCTCCAACGTCTAAACGAACTTTCGGAGCAAGTTCAATTTTTATGATTTTCAAAAAAAAAAAAATCCTTTCGAATATTTCCTTAAAAATTCATTATTATTATTATTACCAACAATTTGTTTTTATTACCATTTAATAAGTCCCCAACATCTAGGCGAAATTATTTTTAAAAGAAAGTTTTCATTCTCTCCATCATTTAGGCAAAGAAAAAATTTTATCATTTTTTTTTCATTATCACTTTTTTGGAATATTATTTTTTAGCATTTTTTTGGTTATTATTCAACTTTATGATTATTTTATTTTATTATTTAAAAAAGAAAAATAAAAAATTTGAAATCATTTTTCATTATTATTATTGTTATTAGTTATTATTATTTTATAATTTTATAAGGTTTATTTTAAGTTTTTTTTTTGAAATTTAAAATCATCAAGATTTAGATTTTATTTATCATTGTTTATTGTTATTTACTAATATCATTAATATTAAAAAAAAACACTAAACATTTACTCTAACAAAAAAAAATTAAACATGCTTAATTAATAATAACAATTAAAAATAATATATATAAACAAATAAATAAATCAAAAATGAAAAAAATTATCTGAACAAGACCGATCAAGAGTCCGATCAATGTCAATTCAACTGGATCGACGGGGGGTGGTTCGGTCAAGCGGTCCATTTGAACAAGTTTAAAGTTGGCTAAATGAACGGGTCACTAGATCAAGTTGCGAGAATCTCAGGTCGAATTTGGGTCTACGTGTGGATCATTTGTTCTTAAAACAGCATTGTTTTAAGGCTTTTCTCTCTTTATATATAAGCTCAAAAATTTTTTTAACTCATTTTCTTTTTTTGCTTAAAAAAAAAAACCCTCTTTCTCTTTGAAGAAAAAAAACAAAGGCTAGAAATCGACCACCCTTAGCCGCATCGACTGTTGTGCAGGTGGTTTTTGTCGGTGGTTGTTGGTGATCAAAAAATTAAAAAAAATCCTTGAAAACTCCTTTCAATCTTTTGAGCACGGATCTGTCTTTTTTTTTTTTGTCAAAAAACACATCGATAGAAGTAGATCGGGCTTTAAAGTTTCGACCCCTCTTTTTTTATATTATAAACTAAAACTGATGGTTTTTATTTTGTTTTTATGTAGGGGCTATGGCGCTGAGGTTTCTATTTTTGAGGAAGACTGTTTTTTATTTATTTTTATTTGGTTTTTTTTTATGGGTGGGTAGGTTTCAGTGGGGTGTTTGTAAGAGGCTAGAGTGAAGGCTGGTGGTGCCTGAGTGTGGGCTGGGTTTTGCTATGTGCAAGGCTGGGAGGCACGGTGTGGGAATACTGGGACTAGGCTCGTGTTTGAAGGCTGGGACTGGGTGCGAGGCTACAAGGTGCCAACGGCATGGACTGGTGCTAGGATCTGTTTAGGTTATAAGTAAAGGGGTCATGGTGGTCTGGGGTGCTGGGGTGCTGGTTATGGGTATGGTTCTTAGTGTTCTTTGGGTGTATGCTTAGAGGCTTGAATCGATGCCGTTGGGGTGAGCATGGGTGCTTTATAGGGCTGGCTGCCTGGAGATAGTGGGTGGAGTAAGTGGTGGTGGTGAAGGTTCAAGATATGGCTAGGGATTGCAGAGGAATGAGTGTAGTGGTGCTAGAGGCTGTTGGACAGAGGGTGGCAGTGATGTCGTGCATGATACCCACTGCCATTGGCCATTTTATTTTTTTTTCCTTTTTGTTTTTAGCCTTTTTTTGTTTTTGTATTTTTTTTGTTAATGTTTAATTTAATTACGATTTAGTATATTATTCTATTTTGATATATGCAATAAAATTAAAATTAAAATTAATCAGTGGATTCGAGCCCGAAAAAAAATCGGGCTTCGACCCGCGAACTCGTTAAAACAAAAAAATTTAAACTGAAACCCGGATAAATTTGGTATCTACAATACCCATGGAGGATGACATATTGAAATTTGTAGAAGTTCCAAAGATTGTTTCAAATGAAGATTACCAAAGAATGGACTCAAACATGAATAGGAGTCTACCAGGTTTCTTATTTACTTCGGGTCTTTCCTCTCCTTGGAAACTAAAATGTTATGTATGTAAATCTTTTATCTAATTTTTGCCTACTTTTCAGGGCCCAGGCTTCAAGATGCAGATTCTGAAGCAGGCTTCCTTCTGCGAATTCTGGGAATCCAGTTATGGCTAAGGTATGTGACTAGTTTATTCAGGCACCTAATTGGCTAATTACTCTCACTGTTTTATTAGTAGCTTGAGATTTATAATTATGAATGAATACATCACTTTGGCGCGTGACCATTGAGTCAGTTCTTGTTTATTTACTAATGCCCTTAAATTTAAGTTCATTAAATAATGACACTTTCATTCACTCTGCTGATATATCTTTTGGCACAAGAGAAATAGAGAAGATGGAAATGCTGCTAATATTGGAATTGTCTTTTTGAGATTAATTACAAAAAAATTTGTATTAAAATCATTTAAAAATTTTAGAATATCCCAAAAGAATGGAAAATCTAATTTGTTTTTTTTTTCTCCATATAAAAGTATTTATTCAGTTAATTTCGAATTAAATTATCTAAAATTTAATTAATCAAATTATATTATATAATTTTTATTAATTGAACCGAATTTATTAATTTCAAAGAAAATCTAATTGATTGGAATTTAATTTGATTAATTCAGTTAATTTTTGAATTAACTCAATCAAATTTATTAATTTTGAAGAACATCTAATTGATTGGAATTTAACTTGTTTAATTTAGATATTTTTTGAATTAATTTAATAAAAAAATATATTTGAGTTAAATTATCTTTTTATTTTTTAATTTTTCATATGTAAATCAAATTAAATAGTATTATTTATAAGATAATAAATTAAAATTTCTAACAATATATAAAATGATTTATGATCCATTTCATGTATCTTTCGATATATATTTGGACTTTATTATATCTTGGTTAAAATTTCGATTATTGAATTATATTAATCGAAAATCAAAATATTTTTAAAATTATTTTTAATAATTAATTAAAATTAATTTGATAATCGATGAATTAATTGAATTAAAGTTATTTTATAAATTAATTTAATTTTAATGGAATTGGGAACACTATATCCTATACTCTCGCTCTATGTTATGTTTTATTTTATTTTTAGTTGTTCGTACAACAGATCGAGTATAAATGATTACATAGGGCTCGTAAGGCGAGTAGAGTGTAATGGACTATGAATTATGGATTTAAGTATTTTTTTTATTTTATAATTGAGTAGTCGAGTCTGGTGTCCACCTCAGCTGACTCTTGATACTTGATGGTTGCTAGTAAACAAGTAGTAGCACATAAATTATGCATCTCAGATTAGATCTGAGGACAAATAAGGTAGAGAATTAGAAAGAAGAAAAATCCCGAAGAGTAATGAAACTGCACCTTTGAAGACGCTTAAGCAAGAGTTCATCTTTATTCATTATATTAATACATTATAAACAAGAAGAAAAAGAAAGAAAAAAGGGAAAAATGACCACATAATTTCTCCCTCATCACTCTTTTTTTTGGACAACGAAAAGTCTCAGTATAGAAAGTTTACAAAGAGAAAGGTATCCTGCCAAGGAGTTAAAATTTAAATTCCAAATAGGCTTCGAAGCATCTTCGTTATACGTCTTCCCACATTGACAACCTCCTCTATCAGACTTTAAAATGCTTAGCAGCTCGTTAAACTTGATTTGAAAGATCAGAAACCACTTACTCTGGCAGTGGGATGTCAGCTAAATCCTCTCTGTAAGGAATATCGTCATCCTCGAAGGACCTGTCAGGGTTGCCTGGCCCATTTTCCAATCGAGCTTGGGCAGCTGGGTCATTATTTCCGGACACCGTATATGTTACAACAGTATCTTTTCGGAAGGCCAAATAGATGATTGCCAGGATGTAGATTGCCATTATAGGAAATACAATGATTCCTATGAATACCTTCCCCACTTTTGATAAATGACTGTGAATCAACCAACTTACAAAGGAGGTGGATAGGAAATAGATGTTGATGGCGAAGACTCCAAGGGCTAAAATCCATGAAATCACAATGATCTGAAAAGCGAAGATACGATCAGCTAAAATATAAATAAGAGCATAGGAGGCCAGAAAAGGAAATTAAAGAAAACATAGAAGGTCCCACTCTGCTACTCACAAATATGGAATTCTTGTGTGGTCCCATCTTGGCTGAGCTGTTACTGAATTTTAGAAGTGGGATCAGAGAAAATGGTAGTTCAAATGAAAGAATTATCTGCAAAATCCATATAAAGATTACAATTAGTTTAGCTTAAAACATGGATTATTGCATGAATATATCTATATATATATATTAATAAATCATATATATATATTTATATATTAATAAGTCAATCTTAGTCATTTTCTGACCGATGCAATGATGATTAGTCTTCCGGCACCTTGAGGTCCACTAATGATGGCCACTACAAGACTAGGTGTAATAGCAATGCTCCTGGTCATCAAATTCCTCGCCCATTTCTTCATTTTAATATTCAAGAAACCCTGAAAGAATCATCAATAATAAGATTAAGTGTAATTAAATTAATAGCATAAAATTTAAGAAGGTTTAATATGCAATACCTGCATGATAAATTGTCCTGCATAAGTGCCTGTAATGGTAGAGCTTTGTCCCGAGGCAAGAAGTGCAGTGCCATAAAGGATCGAGCTAGACTTTCCTAACACATTCTGCAATGGCAAAAATCATAGAATTTTGTTTTTGTTAATTACTTAATTAGGAATATTAGCCTAGCTCCTAATTGTACTTTATTCTTAATAAATTGTACTGTTTTAGTAATTTTGGACCTTAAGCAGAAAAGAAGCAGAATCAAGGTCAATATTGTTGCAACGATCTTGGTTGTCACTCGAAAGATTATCCGCTGCACAGACGGTGCCCGACACAGAGACAACCGCTAAATTGATAAAAAACGCCGTAAGCATGGCTAAACCAGTCTCTATCAAGAAATATCTACAGGCAGCCTGACCAAATTAAAAACAATAACAAAGGAAAAATAGCACATGAGCACACCAAAACTAGGGCATTATTACATCATCGTACTGATTTATTTTCCAAATTATATGAATGGGATCATTTTGCCTAAATTTTTTTAAAAATTTCAATTTTTCTGTTCAAGCTAAAAGTGTACTACGTTTGTATGATAATGACGAGGTGATTCATAGTAAGCCATCGTCAGCTTTGTGGAAAAACAGAAAATATTTTATTATTTATATTTCAATATTTTTCTTATGTTAGTATATAATTTGTGAACATGGTATATTGATTCTTGGAAAAAAAAATGGTACATTGGAAAGTGATGTATCGACTTGCAATTTTGTTAAATCATAAATTAAATCTGCAATCACTATAAATATATAAGGAAATAGTATTTTTTTAAAAAAATTATAATTTAAAAATAAAAAAATTATAAATATTAAGATTCGAACCTTAAATCTATTTAATGCACTTTTTAAATATAATTGTATGATTCAAATAATATTAATTTATTAAAAAAAGTCATAGCTTAAAAATGAAAAAAAAAAATTATAAGTATTAAAATTTAAACACCAAATGAATGCCATCTCATATTGCAGGAGCTCCAAGTTCCAAATAGAATAGATTTAGATACTTGGACTTACATTGATGCCTTTGACAGAATTGGATACTTTTCTGGAGAGCACGAGAGCGGAGTGGAGAAAGAGATTGTGCCTGTTGAGAAATATTATAATAAAGTTATTGCTATAAGAGAATTATTAAATTTAATTATATCCCAATAAAAGTATTGTATGAATACGTTTACGCTTCGACTTTTAATATCCAAATTGATCTTACTAAGATAATGACAGCTTGTCAGATTCTCATGTTCTAGCCCCTCTCCTTGAAAAAGTTTCCTTGAATTCATTGCTGTTGGAATAGGAAATCTAGTTTTCCATCGAATTCGTATAAAATTGAGTAATAATAAAGCATTTGGTTTTCTTTGTAAATCGGACTATGTTCGGACAAAAAAAGTTGCTAAATTTAGCATTTTCCATTTTCCTTTGTTACATATGGAATAGAAGAAAGTGATTGATCTTACGGCGTAACAATGGCGCCCATGAGAGCAATGGCGTCCCCAGTGGTTTGTTGGCCTGCTAGGTTAGGCACAAAAATGCCCTTAATCACACCAGATGCCGGAGGTTTTACGTAACCCATTTCCCCAAAAAAACATCCAGACATTACTAATATCATCACTGCTATGAACATTTCCAGCTTCCTTGCCTGATTAACCGAAAGAATCAAGAAAAACAAAGTCAGTGATGCATGATAATAAAAATTTTAAGACAAAACCCTTTGATAGTTATATATTATCATAATCAAAGTAAATTATATGTTAATCTTCTTTCATTGAAAATTTTGTTAGATTTTTTTAATTAAGAATTGAATTTGAGACCATCTGGTTGCACTAAACAATTTCTTTCCACATCCCAATTCTTTTATAACAAAAATATTTATAAATCAAATTATTTAATTAACCTTCATCAGATCATCTTTCAGCCTTTCATACACCCTTTTTTTTTTTTTTTTTCTTTTTCTCTTCTTCCACGCATCATCTCTCTCACAAACCCTAAACCATTGGAACTACTCCCATTAATTATCAAGAACCGATCCATCCTGTCTTCAAGATCCATCAACTTTTTCACATAACTCCTCCCACCGATATCCAATTCAAAATGGGGAAAAATCCTATGGATGGGCTACTTCGCCAAGTGCGAAACACTCCTTTATTAACACCCTAAATTCCTTTGCCTCTCCTTTGTCCCACTATCCCCACCATGGTACCTATTCTCTGCTAACATTCTTATAATGTTTATTAAAAGTTATATAAACCATCATCGATTTTAGCTCGACTTTGGTATATCATTGTTATTCAATAAGTCAGACAACATAAAAAAAAAAAAAAAGCAAAACCAAGCATAAAAAAAAAAAAACGACATGTAAGGAGGTGCTACTAAAATAAAGGTAATAAAAAATATTTACAAATTAGTTATTCTAAATTTTTCTGAATGGAATTATTATTTAATGCTTTAATAATAAAACTAAGTTTCTTATATTGATTTGCAGTGATCAAAGCAACTATAATTGAGGAGTGGAAAGCATTGATTTACAACACATTCATCTTTTTAACATTACAAAAGTATACTTTTTATGATTTGAAGTTCTTTTCCTTTTACAATATTTGAATTATGAAAATCTATATATAAAGATCAAAACTATTTTTTTAAATTTCATGAAGGTCAACACATAACAAATAATTTTGGATGAGGAGAATATTATATCAATAGATAGTTGTTACTAACTTTTGTTAAATTTTATTATATGGATTTTGCTTGTGAGATTTATACATGTTTATATATATATATATGTATATATAATTTTTTATATTATTTTGTATTTGAGAAAAAGTCATTATAATAAGAAAAGCAATTTGAGACGGCTTAATATATGTTTGAACGTGCTAGCAATTAGTCATGTTTTGAAACACCGTGTCAACCTCAGCTATTTCACCCGTTGAATCAAAGAAATAAAACCTAAACGACTCAAGGTTATATATATATAAATATAATTAATCATGACAACCAATCAGCAAAGTTGACTTTCGAATGAAAGGCTAAAAATTAATTTTTTAATAAAAATAAAAAATTAAACCAAGGAATGAAAGCAGCAAAAGTTTTCTTAAAAAATCTTAGTAAGTGTTGTACAACAAACTCGATCGGACTTGCAACAAGGATGTGCTGTCATAATCATAAAATACATGCTATAATGCTTGTCCAGGTATGTTATACTAAGATTAAAATGACAAAAAAAAACTTATATATTTTATTATTTTATTTAAATAAATTTTTATATTTTTATTATTTTAAAATAAATTCATAATTTTTAATTTATATTTAAATAAATTTTTATTTTTAATTTGTATTTATATAAAATGTTAACATAATAAATTTCTTTTTCGTTTGAAATAAGAATTTATTTAAATATAAATTAAATAATAAAAAATTATTTAAGTATAATACAGTATAAATATTTATTAAAAAAATAATTCATAAATTTTTTTAATATTTTAATCTAAAATTAAATGTATACTAATCCGTATTAGTCTAAAATTTTTTCTGTCTTCCCTTAAATTTCAAATTTTAAAAATTTGAGGGAATTAAAGTAACAAACAAATTCCTATCAACAAGTTGAAATTAATACATACAATAATTTCATTACTTAAAGTTATTTATTTTTTTGTTCTTAATTCAACTCATGTTTTGGAAAGTAGAATAATAAACCGTGTAAATTATTATAGGCGGAAAAGTGCTTAATTATATGGTATACTTTCCTATTCCAAATTGAATGTTCTTACAAAGAAATTACCCCATATCTTTGCAGGCCAAGGAGGAGGAGAGTGCTCAAACCAGTGCAGAGAACACCAACCCACACAGGGATGTGAAACAGTATATTTAGTGCAAAGGCTGTCCCAATAACTGTCACAAATAAATGCATCAAATCATGTATGTTATATACAATTATATATATACACACCATAAAATTATCTGTTTCTTCACGTCTTGTTTTGACTTGGGATTTTGAACTAATGTCATTTAATTTTAATGAATGAAACAATATAACAATGGATGAATTGCCATTCCTGGTGAAAAAAAGGTCAATGTGTTCCAAAATCCCATGGCTTTAATAAAAGTCTTAGCATTCAGTGGATCCCTCCACCGTTGGGATTTTTGAGGTCTAACGTCGATGGATCGGCGAAAGGAAAACCGGGGCCGACGAGATGTGGGGGTGTCTTGCTAAATGAAGAAGGATTAGTTGTTGCCATGTTTTCAGGGCCTGTGGGGTTAAAGAATCCAATGTAGCAGAACTGATAGCTATCAAAACTGCTTTGGAGATGTTTGCAAAGTCTCAATGGAGAAATTAATAAAGTGGGTTTGTTAAAAGAATCTGATTCAAAGGTAGCTGTTTGGTGGTGTCAAAAAGAGGCTGCTCGACCATGGAAGTTGTGGGATAATTTTTTAGCAATTGAGTCACTGATCGGAGAGTTAGGTGATGTTAGGTTGATCAATGCATTGCTTGAAGCAAATGGAATGGCTGATGGTCTGGCCAAGGAAGGGTTCGTACGATTTGAGATGTTTATGGCCTGGTGGTAACTAGTGATCTTGATGTTGAGGGGTGTTTTTATTATTACTGTTGATGAGGTGTTCTAACTACAGAATATATACCCTATTTCTTTTAAGAAAATTTATTCTGATTTAGAAAAAAAACGAATAAAACAATTCTGGTTGATTTGTCTGCTTTAAACTTCATATATTAAGCATGCACACTTATTCTGTATGATGGAAAAGTTAAATTAGTGAACAGTTGGGTAGCTGAAACAATAAGACACCTTCAGGTATATCAGCAGATATGACAGCTACTTCTGCAGATAACCATAGGCAATACTTCAACACTTTTGGGTACTCCTCCCTGCACAATTCTGATAGGTGCTTGCCTGAAAGAAAGAAGTAGCTCAGAATTGATTATATCTGAAATGAAGTTGATTAATTATCAGTATGAGATACTTAATTACCAGTGCTGACTCCAAGATTAGCTGCAAGAACCTGGATTACGAGAGCAAAGACTAATCCAATGAAAAGCACCCACAGTAGCTGAAATTTGCAATATATATGACAGCAAAATTAGCATAATATTCTTGCAGTCAATTAAAGGCTTTTCTTATGTTTTTGTTCTCTTGAATTTACCTCAAATCTATGGTTGGCTCCTGCTTGCAAATCAGTTTCCACTGTGACACGACACCAATCAGATGATGATCATAAGTTGCAAACGGACAAAATGATTGATGAAGGGAGGGAGAGAGAGGAAGAGAGAGAGGTGACTTACGGTTGCCAGGATCAAGATAAGCTATTGAGACAAGGAAACCAGGGCCTACAAATGACAAGAACTTTCTCCATCCAGGTCTCTAAACACCAAAAAAGACCAGTCACAAACCAAAATACACAAGCTATATATGAATTAATGAAATTAAGTAGCTAATGTATCAAATTCTAAAAAGAAACCAGACTAGACCTGATCATGTTTTGGGTCATCATGATCAAAACGTTTGCTGTTGTTACCAGAGAAGGATTGTGGGTTGGTTCCCTCCACATTGATAGAAGCTATGCGGTTGCTTCCACCATCCCACGATTGAGGAAGTGTAATATCACTACCTTGCTGCTGCTGCAAACTTCCCATCTCTCTCTTTAATCTTTAATTTACTATATCTTAATATCTTCCCAAACCTTGGAAGAACTACATTGACTCAAATATAGATACTTAAACTGTATTTATAGTGCAATACGTAGAACCCGGCGAACATTTGGCTTAAAAAAGACTGCATAGCGGTCCAAACGGTGATGACTCGGAGCAGCATGCCTGACGAGTCACTATCGATCCCTTCGTACAGAATAACTTCTCCCTCTGTAAAGAACTACTTCTCCCTTAATAGTAGTATTAATCACGAATTGCATTTTTCTTATAAAATATCAATGAAATAAATTAAACATGGATTAACCAACAAAACCGGGATATAGCTAATATCTCCTTATGTCACCATAAAAAGTCAAACATCTAGTTTAGGTTAAGATTATTATTATTATTATTATTATTATTATTATTATTATTATTATTATTCTTGAAATAAAGTCACGGTTATTATTTTTATTTCTAAACTTTTGGCAACTTTTGTTAAATGTTATTATATGGTTTTTGCTTTGTATTTTAAAAAAAATAAAAAGCAATTTGTGATGGTTTAATATATGTTTGAACGTGCTAGGAATTTAGTCATGTTTTGCAACGATGTCATCCTTAGCTATTTCACCCGTTGAATCAAAGAAATAAAACCTAAACCATACATAGTTACTAATATATATATAATAATTAATCATGACAACATTTTCATTTAAAAAAAATGATGGCAACATATCAGCAAAGTTGACTTGTGAATAAAGGCTAAAAATTAATAAGTTGTTTAATAAAAAATCCTAACTTGAAAAATAAAAAAACTTGTATTTTTTTTCCAATTAAACATAGGAATGAAACCACACAAAAGTTTTCTTAAATAATCTTAATTAGAAGTGTGATATACCCAAATTGATCTTGGAACAAGGATGTGCTGTCAAATCATAAAATACCTCCAACAATACTTGTCAAGATGCATTAAAATATGGTCAAAATAATTAAAAAACTCATGAATTTTATTATTTTTAAATAAATCTTTATATTTTTATTGAATTCGAATAAATTTTTAATTTTTAATTTACATATAAATAGGTTATTAATTTTTAAATTACAATTAAATAAAATTTTAATATAAATTAATATTTTATTTAACAAAAAAATTTATTTCGATACAAATCAAAACATAAAAATTTATTTAAATATAATAAAAATATAAAAATTTATTTAAGAAAAAAATAGTTTAAATAATTTTTTAATATTTTAATCTTAAATTAATTAAACATATACTAATCCATGTTAATCTATATTTCCTGTTTTAAACAACTTATTTTGTTCGAATCTTTTTTGTATTATTAAATTTCCAATCTTAATTTGATATAAAAGCTTTTAACTATGGTATTGGATTATAAGCCCAAGCAATTTATCCAAAATTTTTAATTATTCTTTTTATTTTGTGGGCCAAGGGTTTTTTTTTTTTTTTTTTTTTTTTAAGATTGTGACTTTGGGCTTCGATTCGAAAATTGATTATTGAAGCTTGTTTGAAAATTCTTGAACATCAAGTTTGTGCAAAAAAGGAAAAGAAATCTTAAAAAAATATAAACAGAGCCGATCCTTAATGTTTTCTAATTGAATTTGAGATATTCAATCCATGTAAAAAGAGCTCAATGCCAAGCTTAAGAAGAGGGGAAGCAATTGAAAAGCAAGAAAATTTTGGGGCAATCGTGGAAATCCAACATAAAGGGGGGGGGGGGTCGAAAGCGCTCATCAAGCAAAACATAAGAATAACGCAGAGCAAGAAGGCAATTACAAGAACAGCAATTGAACCAACAATAAAAAAGCAATCACACAGTAAAAGCTAAAATAAGAGCAATTACAAGAAACAAGCAAATTACAACAATCAAAGAGCAAAGAGATAAAAGTAATTGTCTTGGTTATTCGGGCTAGGCAAATTTGGGTTATTCTGGAGGTTTCTGGATTAGCATAAAGATTTTTTGGGTTGATTTTGGGCGAAGAACAGTGGTGGAGACGGGTTGAGATCCGAAAATTCCTAGTTCAGATCTTGTGGGTTTTAGAAAGATTTTGGGAAAACTAACTTGAAATGGTGAAAAAGGAGTTCTACAAGATTTGAAAGGTTATTTCCTGGTTTTTTCCGCCGCTAGTGAGTGGTGGCTGGCAGTGATCATTGGTGGTGGAACAGGCGGAAACTGTCCGGAACCTGGGTTTGGGAATAACAGGCAGCAATGTTCATGAATCTGGTTAGATAGAATGAATAGAGTCCGATTTTAGAGAGAGAGAGAGAGAGAGAGAGAGAGCAAAATGCAAAAATGAATAACAAGACTGAAAAAGAAAGGCATTTTATCGACGAGCTAAACAGTGCCGTTTTAGATATGAAGAAACAGGATTTTTTTACCTGTTTTAGTGACGACCCGCCCTAACCCGTTTTCTCACCCAATTCATTTATTGTTTTAAAGGTTTTTTTTTTTTTTTTTTAACTTATTTCTGTTTTTTTTTTAAAACTATTTTCTGTTTTTTATTTCTTTATTTTATTATTTTTTGTTTTTATTTTATTAATATATGATTTAATTTCTAGTTGAAAAATAATAATGGAAAAAATAAAATTTTGATTTTTTTATAATTATTTGTAAATAAATAAAATGATTGTGAATAAATTAATTTTTTAATAAAATATTCAATAAATCCAACAAGCCTCTTTAAGTAAACAATAAGTTTATATTGAATATTTATGGGATGAGAGAAAAAAATTTTTAGTTGAAAATTAATTTTTTTTAATATTTAAATATTGAGATTAATAAATAAAAAATAAAAACCATTGTAATTAAGGTTTACATAAAATAACATAATACTAATTTGGTATCAATTTGTAAACGTAGTAGGATGATAAAACTTTCTTCATATATAAGTAATTTTCGAACTTAATTTTGAAAATATATATTATAATTAATTTTTTTTAAAAACCTTTAGTTAAGTTTAAAATAATCTTAAAAATAATATATTTATTTAGGTAATCAATCACATATAAATAAAAAAATTAGTAGCAACTTCATAATTTTTGTGTCAAATATACAATAAACTATCATAATATTTAAGTCCAAAAGCTTGATCATCATACATAAAAAAATATAAAGTTGTTACTAATTTTTTTTATCTAAGTATGATTTGCTACTTAAATGAATATATTATTTTTAAAGTTATCTTAAACTTAACTAAGAAATGTTGAAAAAAAATAAGTTTTGGTCTATATATTTAGAACTAAATTCAAGATTTAGTTACATATAGAGAATGTTTTAGCATCTCATAATGTTATAAATTGATAATAAATTAGTTTTTATTTGTCTTATCTACTTAATTATAATTATCTTTATTTTTTATTTATTAATTTTAATATTTAAATAAGGTTTTATCCAAAAAAATTTGTTTACTTTAAAAGTATTTAAGGTAAATTTGCTATTCACTTAAAAAGATTTCGTTATTGAATTTATTAAATGTTTTATGAAAAAAAATCAATTTATTTACAATTATTTTATTTATTTACAAATTTTATTTACAAATAATAAAAAAGTAAAATATTAGTTTTATCAAGAAATTAAATCATGTATTAATCAAATAAAAACAAACAAAATAACCAAAATAAGTTAAAAAAAACCTTTGAAACAACAAATGAATCGGGTCAGAAAACGGGTTAGCGTGCGTCGCCATTGTAACGGGTCAAAAATTCAGTTTCTCTATTACCTAAATGGCGTCGTTTTGGCTCCCCTATAAATTTTCTTTTTTCAGTCCTGTTATTCATTTTGCATTTTGCTGTCTCTCTAACCAAATTCAAGAACAAGGCTGCCAATTATTCCCAAACCCAGATTTCGATCAGTCTCTGCCAGTCCTGTCGCTGTTGATCACTGCCAGCCACTACTCAATGCAGTCATAAAAAAAAAAAAAAACTGAAAGATAACATTTTCAATCTTTTGGAACTGCTCTTTCACCTTTTCAAGTTAGTTTTCACAAAATCTTTCTAAAACCCACTAGATCTGAAGTAGGAATTTTCATATCTCAACCCCTTTCCACCGCTGTTCTTCGCCCAAAATCAACCCAAAAAATCTTTATGCTAATCTAGAAACCTCCAGAATTACCCAAACTTGCCTAGCCCAAAAAACCAAAACAATTACTTTTATGTTCTTATTTTTGTTTTCTGATTGTTGTAATTTGATTGGTTCTTGTAATTGCTCTTGCCGCAACTTTTTCTGTGTGATTGCTTTTTCATTGCTGGAACAATTGCTAGAGGCTGATTCTCGGTTTTTTATTGTGTGTATACTTGCATGCTACGATTGTGGCTCTCTGTTTGGAAGAATTTCTGATGGGTTTGGTTTTGCTTGAAATTAGGTTTCTTCCGTGTTGAATTTGGGCTTCTGGGTATGGGTTTGGTTGTCAGGTTATGGGTGGCAGATTGAGTTTCTGGTTCCTCCTTCAAGGTTCTTTGCTCTGTTGATGGTTGTCTTTGTCTTCTTGCTTGCTTTTGGTTCTCTTGTGTTTCTGGCTTCTAGACTTGCTGGCTACTGTAGGATTCTGGATGGGTTCTCTGTTGGCTTAAAGGTGATTTGAGGGTATGTGGGTGCTGAATTGCTCACTTGTGGGTTATTGAATGGTAGACTTGGGGTTCTTGGCGATGAAGTGCTTCTGTGTTTTCCTTCTTGAAGCTAATTGGTGCTCTATATTGCTTTTGTTTCTGGCTGTTCTTGTAATTGCCTTACCCCTCTGCCTTCTTCCTCCCTGTGTTCTTGATGAGCTCTTTCGGGCCCTTTCTTACTTTTCAATTGCTTCCTCCCATTTGAGCTTGGCATTAAGCTCCTTTATACGGACCGAAAATCCCAAATTCAATAAAATAAATTAAAAGATCGGATCTGTTTAAATTTTCTTATAAAATTTTTCCTTTTGTTTTTTTTTTTTCACAAACTTGATGCTCAAGAATTTTCAAACAATAATCAATTTCTGAATCTAAGCTCACAATTTTTTTAAAAAAATCCACATTTTAATTTCGTTTTTTTTCTTTGACTTTGACCTACAAAATAAAAAGAATAATTACAAGTTTTGGGCATCTTAGAATCCAATTCCATCATTAAAAATCCAATATCAAATTAAGAGTCGAAGTCCGATAATATAAAAAATATCGAAAAAACCTGAACAAAATGAATTATCTACACCTGTTTTCCTTCTAATTTCAAATTTCAAAAATTTGAGGGAATTAATGTAAAAGAAATTCATAATAAGTTGAAATTAATGTAAACAATAATTTCAC